GTTAGGTGTATTTATTAGAATTTGAGTCGGGCTTCAAAAATTGGATTTATTCAAATTCGTCTTAGCTAGAGTTAAACCGACTTGGCTGGTTTCAGGGTCTTCCTTGGGGTGCCACCCCTCCGCTCTTCTCCAATACCGCGTCCAACATCTTGATGCGCTACGGATCAACGTTAGATAACCATTTTTCGGCCCAGGAACTTGTAGGTTAATAGGACAGACGGCTTCTATCTCCTCCACCTCTACTCTCTCCTCTGCATAATCTGTTCCTTCTATTTTCATTTCCTATCTGTTCACGTCTACTGAAAGGCCGAAAGGCCGTAATAGCAGACGTAAAACCTTCACTAGTGGTCTCACTTTTAGGGAAATAGGCATAGCAACCCGCCATAGCTCTTTCTCGTCTCTCAAAAGTCACTCGGCCGACAAACGATGTATCCACATCATACATACCCCAGGGGCCAAGGGTCCTATTTGAAGGTAGGTGAACACCTCTTTGCTGTCAAAGGGTGGCCTCATTTTTTCATAAATATGGACCTTCTAGAACATATTTCAGCTTGCCACCCCTCTGGGAAATCCACTGGGATTGAATAATTAGATGGTATATATAGATCATGTATGCATCACTTAAAATTTTGGTATATAAATTTTACAGTTTGACCTCCACTCTAAAGGTCAAATCAAGGTAAAAGGTCAAATAACAGCAAAAAGTATCGTTTTTCCCCCTAACCACTCTTTATTGTTTAGTGTCATTTGAAAAAAATACAGAAATTGATCAACTATCTTGTTGTATTTGTGCCATGGGTAACATATCAATATTTTGTAGACCTATTTCCTTGTAATTCAGTGAATGGTGGCCACTTTATTATGTATATTGTTATATAGAATGGAATTATAGATTCCGGGGGTAGGGGTGCAGAAATGGGTGTAACTTATGTTATAGTCATTCTTCCCATTAATGGATGGTAGTATACAGTTAAAGTATGGGGTTTAGGGATATAGCAAGTTTCTGGCGTCCCGAGACCAGGTATATTTTCCGAGGCGAAGCCGAGGGAAATAGGCATGGTCAAGGGACACCAGAAACTTGCTATATCCCTCAACCCCATACTTTTTTTCCGTTTTATTAAACCGATACACACAGCAGTCAGAGATAGTTTTAACTAGAAAATATTTGTAAACCATAAGCTGTATAGCTTCACGTCCCAACTACCCATTTGATGGCAATGGAGCCGAATGCTTCCGAGTTCGGTAGCAAGCTCCGCCCACCTCGTGCGTCGTTTCATCTGTACAAACCTCTGGTATGCTTACATTCAATTTCCACTAGGTCTAGGCTAGTCGCTATCGCTCGGCGATATATGGTAGCACTCTCTATTTCCCGCCTTTTTGGCGCATAACCTTCAAACGATGGACGTTTGCGGTCATTAGTATTTTCTACTTAGTATTTTACCCCAATACCTCAGTTTCATACAAATACAAAAATATTTATTCCATTACCTATTGATTCAATTATGAAGATAGTGTATGAAGTAAAATATGGATATTTTATTTGAGTAAAAATATTGAAATGGAAGAACTTTTTTTCTTTTGTTGTCACGGAGAAAGTGGGCGGGGTTTAGCTGCTTGTCAACGGCTGTTTCGCATGGATTAAAATGACGTCAACATATTTTTTTACGCAGATTAGTTAACACAAGGTAAATGCTTGTATCCGACTCTTTTAATGGTGTTCTTGTTAAAAGAAAATATTGTAAATATAAGGATTAATCTTTCATTTTGTTTAGTTTATGAGATAATAAATCCAATGGAGCAGTCGGTAAATTGTTCGTAAACGCGAAGGCCTCACTTATTATGCGTAGATATTAACGCATCCCACTGGAATCCAACTGGACTTGAGGCTTTCTATGAAATCGCACCTGTCTTAGATTAGAGCATTCCTTGAATATAAACGATTGATTCAATTAGAGTTAACTATAGCCGCATTAATATTGCGTAAATTTGTAAGCATCGCATTGGCGATCAAACTTTGCTTGATATACATGCAGTATGTCCATATCAATGTAGGTGAAGCATGATGACTCGTGCAGTTTTTGCAGAAGTTTATTTAGCACCCAGGTCTTTGCCAGTGGTGTTTAAGGGTCAGCCTGTATACACTTTGCAATGCTACGTAAACACTTGAGCACTGTCACCATCACTATCACAAGCACAACCCCTTCCGGTATAGTTTAGATGTCCACTTAACCGAATTAAACATACTTACACTAAAACAACACGTGCATACTTTTGTGTCGACTGTGCTGTTGTTACACTTATATTGGACCAATGTCCATAATCCTAATAGAAGCAGAATTATATTTTCTATGTTAAAAAACAGTGAAACCACAAGTTTTTGTTGAGTTATCAGAAAAATTTGACAAGGGTATAAATTTATAACATTTTTTAAATGTCAAATGATGACTCAATAATGTATATCAGTTTGGAAAGGTACTGGCGGACGTGTGCAGATCGATGTGAATAGACGTGATACGTGTGTGCGCTTGGTATTATGGGTAATTTTAAAGATGATGACACCTATTTTGCATATGTCAAAATATAATGTCACCTATGACTTAATTTCCAGTTTGGGATAAACTGGATGGGAACAACAAAATACGACACTGAAATCGGAGTGTTACTATGGCTGCCAAGCAAACAGATACGTTACCCATTCTTATTTATTGAAAAAGCGAAGACCAGCCTCAATGCATAGCATGTCACGAACCATTAACAGTAAAACACTTATTATTAGATTGCATTGACTTTGAATTAACAAGATATATTTTTTATAATAATGTAACAGATCTCGATTTTTTTTCTCAACAATTCAAAATTACCTGAAGACTGTTGAGCTGTTCATAAAGATATAAACAACCATAGCCGCCTTTACTTTTTGACTTGACGTCTGTCTTTTTTCTTTTCATCTGTTTGATGTCATGTCCCTTTGTATTGGTCCTAATGATCTCTTGTCCAATAATGTACAGATGGCGTCTTATTTGTCACACCTAGTCATAGTGAGTCAGCTTCGGACTTCTGGCATCGACCTAAACTTAACAAAACATACATACAGTATAGTGTGGGTTACGGGGGATTTAGTGGGACATTATATAATGACTAGTTGTAACAACATAGTTCAGTACAATATACACAAATATTAAAATGCTCTTTTCATGCCTCATCCTCGGGTTTTTCAAATTTGGCAAACCCCGAGGGTGGAATGTGCCCACCTGCACCTCTAGCAATATTGGAGTATATTTCTCTTATTCCAACCACAAGAATAAGCTCAGAAACCATAATAATGGGTTTGGACTGTCCACAATGTTGAAAATATCAATCCCCCTCTGAGCTTTTTAGACGAAAGCGAATCTGTCAGCCAGATGTAGCGTACCCCATATTTGCAAACAACGTTTTCACAGAAACAAAAAAAACACATCTTTCTAACGTATAAGATAAATATATCGTAAACGATTTTGATTTCGTCACGTCGTCTTTTCCGCATTGCAACATCGGAGATTTCCAAAATCGTGACGTTACGTCATTGTTGAGCCGTTGTGACGTCACGTCACGTGAGATGGGGTGTAAGATTATAAGACTCTTTCATGCACAGGGTTGTAGGATAGGAAAATTCCACGCGAGGGGTTTTCAAATTTGGTGAAACCCGAGCCTTGCCGAGAGTCTTGCCAAATTTGAAAATCCCGAGGGGACGAATTTCCCAACCCTACACTCTTGTGTATGAAAGAGTATTTTCTCTCATTCAAACCACCAGAATAAGCTCAGAAACCATGAAAATGCGTTTGGACTGGCCATCATTTTAAAAGTATCAATTTTCCCCCTGAGCTTTATGAGGTTATTAAGCATAACCCATATTTGCAAAAACTGTTTGTACAGAAAAAAATATCACATCTTTCTCGTGTACGGCAAATATATCGTAAAACGTTTTAATTTCATTATGTCGCCTTTTCCGCATTGCAAAATCGGTGATTTCCAAATTCGTGACGTTACGTCATTGTTGAGCCATTGTGACGTCAGGTGAAATGGGATGTAAGATAGAAATCTCCTACACCCTTTTCTTTCCCTGGACAGCTCTATCTTACACACAGGAAAATGAGAGAATAATAGAATCTCTCAACCCATTGGAGGTGAGATATGGGAATCACAACCCGAGGGGGAAGATTCCTAAGTTGCTAAACACGAGGCTTTGCCGAGTGTTTGGCAACTTAAGAATCTTTTCCCGAGGGTTGAGATTCCCCTTTCTCACCCACAAGGGTGTGAATGTTTCTTTTTCTCTTACCCTGTTCTCCTATTGTGTATCATATACACAATGTAATGATAACGCTACATGCTAAATTCAGAGTGGATGAATTGTTGACGTGACGTCATTGTATTGTTGAAGTGACGTCATACCATTGTTATGAATAGGGGAATCCCCCCCCGTCTCAAACCCTAAGGTGAGATTAATAGAATCTATCGCTACTGGTTGTGTAAGATAGAGAAATCTCAACCCGAGGACTAAATCTGTCTCGGCAAGCCTCGTTCTGGACAAAAAATCTTAGTCCGAGGGTTGAGGTTTCTCTATCTTACACAACTAGTAGCGATTGATTATTTTTCTCCCATATCTAACAGTATTTTAATGTGGAATGAAGGTAAACATGGCCCCAAAACACATACAGGCAATTTGTTGATGGATTGTTGACGTGACGTCATTGTATTGTTGCAGTGACGGCATACCATTGTTATATATAGGGGAATCCCCCCGTCTCAACCCTAGGCGGAGACAGAAAAATCTAGCACCGGCAAAACGGGAGATAAATCTGTCAGGTGTGGGAGCAAAGGAAATCTCACACCGGTAAAAGTGCGGATACACCTGTCCAGGGTAAGAGAAATATATTGTCAAGAAAATGCAACATGATGCAGTAAGTACGTATGCATGCATATTTGATGAAAAAGTATCATGTTCTATATGCTATTTGTTGTAGATGGAACAATTCGTTTGGTTAATGGCTCCACAGTGTTTGAGGGAAGGTTGGAAATATACCATTCTGGAGAGTGGGGCACAGTATGTGACGACGGCTGGCAGCAAAACAGCAAACAGAATACCGCTGTGGTGTGTACACAACTGGGACATAGGTAAGATTCATACTTATTTATAGTTATTTATGATAATAGTTGGGATACGAGTAACATTGTATAAAGTCAACACTGGTGACGAGTAAATGAGTCGGCACTGGGATACAGGTACATGTAAGTTACACCACATTGTATACAGACTGGGATACAGGCAAGTTACATCACATTGTATACGGACTGGGATACAGGTGAGTTACACCTCATTGTATACAGACTGAGATACAGGTAAGTTACATCAAATTGTATACAGACTGGGGTACACGTATGTTATATAACATTGTTTACAGACTGGGACACACGTATGTTATATCAAATTGTATACAGACTGGGGTACAGGTAAGTTACACCCCATTGTATACAGACTGGTATACATGTAAGTTACACCACATTATATACAGACTGGGATACAAGTATGTTATATCACATTATTTACGGACTGGGATACAAGTAAGTTACATCACATTGTATATAGACTGGGATACAGGTAATTTACACCACATTGTATACGTTACATCACATTGTATGCAGACTGGGATACAGGTCAGTTTCCCCTCATTGTATACAGACTGGGGTACAGGTAAGTTACACCCCATTGTATACAGACTGGAATACAGGTAAGTTACACTACATTGTATACAGACTGGTATACATGTAAGTTACACTACATTCTATACAGACTGGAAGAAAGGTAAGTTACATCGCATTGTATACAGACTGATTTACAGGTAAGTTACACCACACTGTATACAGACTGGGATATAGGTAAGTTACACCACCTTGTATACAGCATGGGATACAGGTAAGTTACCCCACATTGTATACAGACTCGGATACACGTAAGTTATATCACATTGTTTACAGACTGGGGTACACGTATGTTATATCAAATTGTATACAGACTGGGGTACAGGTAAGTTACACCCCATTGTATACAGACTGGGGTACACGTATGTTATATCGCATTGTTTACGGACTGGGATACAAGTAAGTTACATCACATTCTATACAGACTGGAAGAAAGGTAAGTTACATCGCATTGTATACAGACTGGAATACAGGTAAGTTACACCCCATTGTATACAGACTGGAATACAGATAAGTTACACCACATTGTAAACAGCCTGGGATACAGGTAAGTTGCATCACATTGTATACAGAATGGGATACACGTAAGTTAAATCACATTGTATACAGATTGGGATGCAGGTAAGTTACATCACGTTGTATACAGACTGGGATATACGTATGTTATATCACATTATTTACGGACTGGGATACAGGTGAGTTACATCACATTGTATACGGACTGGGATACAGGTAAGGTACACCACATTGTATACAGACTGATTTACAGGGAAGTTACACCACATTGTAAACAGCCTGGGATACAGGTAAGTTACACCTCATTGTATACAGACTGGTTTACAGGTAAGTTACATCACATTGTATACAGACTGGTATACATGTAAGTTACACCACATTGTATACAGACTGGGATACAGGTAAGTTACATCACATTGTATACAGATTGGGATGCAGGTAAGTTACATCACATTGTATACAGACTGGGATACAGGTAAG